ACAAAAAACAGTATACTTTAGTACACATATAATTTATGCAACACAGCAATTTGTAATTAAAAAAATTCTAAAAAAAACGATTGTTTGACAAAGTATTCTGCCCCATAAATCGGAAGTGTTTCACAGTAAAGTTGCGTTACCTGGTATAAGGCTTTTTATTCGTGCTTTAAATAAGTAATTATATTCACTAGTGGCAATTCTGACTAACTAGAAATATAAGAAGGGGGATAAAATAAACTAGTCAGGGTGAATGAGATATAAGCAGTAAGTATACTTTGTCCTTTTGGAGTAAATTTTCCGGTTTTCAATAGATTTCTATGCCGAGACAGTTACTTTATCCAGCAGAAATGGTCTTCCCTACTAAATAGTTTTCTTCTCCACAAGTTGCGTAACGTAATATTTAATTTTGGCAGAAACAACTAATTCCCGTATAGAGTTCTGGCAGTACGACAATTTTACGAGTAATCATTAGTATCCAGACATAAAAAAGAACTTTCTTCTGCAGTACTTGAAAAGTGCTGTTTAAAGTTACTGGTTATTAAAAAACTGCATAAGACTAATCCGAAGATTTCATATAACTAACCTGGTAAACGTAACCGCGTTGGTTCGGGTCTTCGCCTGATATCATTTCTCCTTATCGTAATATTCTGATTTTGGCTACCGCACCTGACGCAGTTCAGACAACGACAATCATTACACTGCCCACAACGTTGACAAAACCACTGTGCTACACATTTAACCGGTTTGCTCATCAACCACTTTGGTTCTGGTTTTAGGCGGTTGAATTTACAACAGATTCCTAAATGTTAGTTCCCCAGATAGTCAATACCAATCCCTGATGTAACTATCCCCTAGCTGAATAACTGCAAAGAAGCGTTTGATAACCAACAGCCAAACTCCACTTTGACGATCCATTTACTGTATAAACGAACATTAAACGCTAAAGAAGTAACAACAAACAAAATTAGAAGTTACCAATCACGTTTGAAGAAGTCCGGCAATCAAATGTGCGTAGAGTCAGAATCTATTTTGATCACAAATTTCGCCTTTTTTTACGCCATTTTTAGGCAACCATTTGACAAAAATCACTGAACAGCAAGGATAAGGTATCCAAACAGAAAAGCAACGTTATCTTAACTGCTTAAATGCCAAAAATTATCCACTTACCAAACCGGCTTTTTATTTTTCCATCTACTCCAATTATCATAGTTAAATTTTTGTTTTTTTTTTTCAACTACATTATTTGCTAATAACAATTCATCGTTATTAAATCACATTTAGGTAATTTAGAATAATTTCAAACCTCTCAATAAATACTGGTACCAATGCTACCTGAATGTGAAATCGTTTATAAATTTCATCACCTGTCCTTCTTAAACCTATCATTTTCTTCACATCTAATAATCACATAGTAGTACAGCAAAAAAAAAGATCTGACTATTGCATTTGACAATATCAATAGTAATATTTAGCAAGTCCTTCAAAAAAATTTACTTCTTACTGCAGCAATTTCGCTCCTCAGCCTTCAGCTGGATGAAGCTCTACAATATACGGTTGTTGAAAGAACGAATAATTTGTCC